CAGAGCTGGAGAGAAAGTTCCCCGCCTCCTCAGAGCCTATGAATGTGTTTGGGAAGTCCCTGAAACGGCTTAGGGGGAGAAACAAAGCTCATTGCCAGCTTGCTGGCTGCAGGCAGGATGGCCGTTCTTGCTTCTTCTCCCCTCCCCTTCCACCCCCGACCGAAGGAGCACTGCAAAATGGCGTACCGGCCTGCGGTATCGGCTGAGTGGAAGGGAGGGAAGGGAGCCTGCTAATCTTGTTGAAGCGGCGTGGTAGTTACGGTAGGGAGGAAGACAGAGGTGTGTGGTGCAAAGTTTGCTGCCCACGAAAGACTGCTGTTTTAACTAACTTGCAGTAGAAGGACTGAGAAACAACATCTTGTGTGATAGAGGACAGCACTCTGAAAATCCCAGAGATGCTTATTCTCAGTGAGAACAAAATGCATGAAAAAAACCAAATAATTCCCTAAGAAAATGTTGCCTTTTATTTCTGTGGAGAGCTCCTGTAACATAGGTGTGTCCTGGGGATAATTTCTCTTTGATAGAAGAGAGAAGCTGTAACAGCAGGTCTTTTCCTCCTGTGTAAGAACAGCAGTTCATGTGCACATAATAAAATTAGGCAGAAAATGACTTAACTTTTCCTTTCAGGAGTGACCTGAAGAGTTCTATGGTCATTCTTTTAAGGTAAAAGCAGTCTGAGTTGCTAACTGGAACCCTGTAGCCTTGAGGGATGTCAGAGAACAGTAAAGAGTGTCTAGTTTTTCCTTCTGTATGTTTTTGGTTTTGGAGAAGTCTAAACTTTACTGTTTCATGTAATAGATTTCGTCTAATATGTTTAGGAGAGTTTGAAACATTTACTGTTTCCAGCTTTAACATAAGCCAGCTAAAAGTTGAATAGCATCAGTAGACTAAAAATAAAATGCAATTAGCAACAGAAAATAATATTTCACTTAACCTAAAGCACTTTATATATACAGTAGATGTGTCACTCTGTAATACTTTAAGCTTACGTATAGTTAGAAGGGAGATTTATATATTTTTTAATTATACTTCTGTAGTCCAGACCTCTCGCAACACCATAGAAAAGAAGCTTTACTTTGTAGTCACAGGACCATTGACTGTCAGTCATTTATATAATGTAGTGACAAAGTTAATACCTTAAATAGAAAGTTGTTATCGTGAATGCTAGGGCTCTTTCTTGGTAGGTTTATCAGGTGCAAGAGCAAGATCTACTTCCCAGCCAGCTTTTCATAGTCCTAGGCATTTTTTCCTGTAGTACATACAACCTAAACATTATAAACCAATGGTTTCCTAAGGCAGTATATAATTCAGAAATTCTCTTTTACCATGTATTGCCTCACAGTATTCATTACTCTTTAGGGTGGTTGTGTTGCACTTAAAGGGATGTATGCTTTTCTGACCAACCCTAGCACCACCACCCCCTTTATTTAAACTGGCAGAGGTTAAAGTACTTCACCTTCAGGTTTGAAGCAAGACATCTACGTGCAGAAGTCTGTGGCTGGTTTTATGTAGTTCAGCTCTCGGGCTAATGCTGCATCTTGTCTAGGTTAAGCCACTGCAGCAGAAACAGTGAAGCCTGTTACACATTCATGCTGCAGAATTGAAGTCATATGCAGCATAGCTAGCCAGCAGCATAGCTGGCCGGCACCTTGTGGAGCGTTTTACATGCAGAAAAGTACCATCTTGCTAAATAAGATTTTAATCTGGTTGCTTTTTTTAAGACTTCTCTGTCTTGGGTGTGGGAGAAACTTGTAAAATAATTTTTCATAAACTGTCAAATGTACGGGGATATTCCCTGCCTAACTAAAAAAAACTGTGCAACACTGAAAGAGAGCAGAAACGGTAATGCACTTGTAAGCCCTCTTAATTCGTGCTATAGAAAAGTGAGCTCTGAAAATTATCAAATTACCGCATTTTAAAATGTGGCTGTTCATATATAGGTCATACTGTCAAGAGCTTCAGTTAAACTTAAGTTTGTTTTGTGATGCTTGTTAAGATACCAGTCTTATTCCAGTAGTTGTATCAACTGCTGGTCATTGATTCAAGACATTTTTATCTGTAAGACAAAAGTCCATGTTGATTCACATTTAAAAGGTATTTCTCCTAACACTGAAAACCACATACGTAATTCTAGTTTCTTGCTTGCATGTACTCCGTTTGCAGCATTATCTGAGTACAAAATGTAGAATTTGAATGAATTAACAATTGATAAATTTCTTCAAAATGCATATAAATAACCTTTCAAAGTGGATATCCGAAAAGACTAGACACTCAGTTTGGATGATAACCTTTTTTCTTGTACACTCTGTTCTTAAATTTTTTATAGTTCCTCATGATTATGCTTCATCAAGTGTTCGAACTTCCCTTTATCTAGCAGTGTTTCCTTGCTAATCCCTACAGAGCAATACACAACTCAAACACAAGATAGGCATAAAATGAATGCACTTCCGGGGGGCTGGGGGGAAGTAATGGTATTATTTAGTGTGTTGAAATCTCTTTACTGTTGTTTGCATTTGAGCGCTCATAAGTTGTTTAGTTAGTGTTTTAATTAAAATCACACCTCATTAAGTGTTCACTATGCTGCTGTCTAAACCCATTAGAAGTCATTGGTTTTATGTAAATGTATTCCACGTATTCGTAGCTTGAACGTGCACAGATAATTTTTAGTAATTCTGTGAAAATTTAACTCTGGTTTGTATTCAAAATGCGCTTTTGATTTTTGATTTTGTAGGGCCATGAGCCAAAGGAACCGGAGCAGTTGAGAAAGCTGTTCATTGGAGGTCTGAGCTTTGAAACAACAGATGATAGCTTGAGAGAGCACTTCGAAAAATGGGGCACACTCACAGACTGTGTGGTAAAGTGTCAAATATTTGTTTGTGCTTTCGAAAGGATATAAGTACTTAATATAGTACAGAAATGCAGAGTACCCCCTTTGTTTTTCCAGGTGATGAGAGACCCACAAACAAAACGTTCCAGAGGCTTTGGCTTTGTGACTTACTCTTGTGTGGAGGAGGTGGATGCTGCCATGAGTGCTCGACCGCATAAGGTTGATGGGCGCGTGGTTGAACCAAAGAGAGCAGTTTCAAGGGAGGTAAGTTAAGTGTTTCAGTTAACCTTGTTTCCTAATCTTTCCTTAATAATTGAAGACACTGAATGTCATTTTTGGTGTTGCAGGATTCTGTAAAGCCTGGGGCACATCTCACAGTAAAGAAAATATTTGTTGGTGGAATTAAAGAAGATACAGAAGAATATAATTTAAGGGAGTACTTTGAAAAATATGGCAAGATTGAAACCATAGAAGTCATGGAAGACAGGCAAAGTGGAAAGAAAAGAGGCTTCGCGTTTGTAACTTTCGATGATCATGATACAGTTGATAAAATTGTTGGTATGTAACTCTTTAGCGAGAAGTGACTTACAGGATAAAAGCGTAACATTTCAGAACAGCAGTTTGTGGAATGTAAGATGTTGACGTAATCAGCTCTTTGACTATTGTAAGAGTTGGGGTAGACTTAATATTCCTTTTAAGTGTGATCGTGCTTTACAGAAGCTTTCTGTGAGAGTTTTACAGCATATTGGTTTCAATGATTTGATTTTCTAACTTTTTCCCATTTCACAATTTTCTCTAGTTCAGAAATACCATACTATAAATGGACATAACTGTGAAGTGAAAAAAGCACTCTCAAAACAAGAGATGCAGACTGCTAGCTCTCAGAGAGGTGAGTTTGGAGTTGTGCGTGTTATTCTAAGTAACTGATTTTCAATAAATGTAATTAAAGCAAAATATTTTGTAGGTCGTGGGGGTGGTTCAGGCAACTTCATGGGTCGTGGAAATTTCGGAGGCGGTGGAGGGAACTTTGGCCGAGGAGGAAACTTTGGTGGAAGAGGTAAATGACTGGAACGTTTATATAGAATGTGATTTCTGGGGTTTTTATTTCCTGTGTCAGTTGGCTTAAACACTTAACACATGTGTTCAGGAAAACGTTCTCATCTGTTTTGTGTTCCAGGAGGCTATGGGGGTGGTGGTGGCGGTGGTGGGAGCAGAGGAAGCTTTGGGGGTGGTGACGGATACAATGGATTTGGTGATGGTAAGTGTATTGTTCACTTTTTTTTTTCCCGAAAAAGTTATAACCAGCTGTAAGTCTTGCCTTCACCTTGGAAATCTGGTCCACTTCGGTGGTGTTTTCTACATTGTAGAGCTGTGAAGAGTTAAAGGTTTTTTGGTTTTCTCACAAAATGATGAGTGGAAAAAAAAATACTCTTCTATATGTATGCTTTAAATAACCTCATGTCATGAGGTCATGCAGTAGCTATTTATGATGATCGAGAACTAAATGAAGATTCTGCTGTCAGTTGAGATGACTAAAACTGAATAAAGCAGTGACCAACTAACATACCAGAAATCTTTTCATTTAACTGGAAGACTTTTTATGGTTCAGTAGTATCTTTTTCATTATGAAGTTTGGATGAGTATCCAAAATGCATCTGAAGAGAACTGTGGAAACTACCAAATGGCTGTGGAATAGCATTTTTGTAGGGAGGTGAAATGAGGGAATTCGCATGTAGTTACTTGTGTCTTGATTCTTTAAGCAGATATATGTAGTGATGTTGAGTTCTTTGGGACTGTTCCCCAGTTTGGAACTACTCTGTCAAAATACCTGAGACCAGGTCAGCGTCTGGAATACTAGGTCTTTCGTATATGCTTTACAGGAACAGAAGAAAAGACGTCGAGTAGCTTTGATACACGTGTAAATAAAAGTGTATGTCTAGATAAAAATTGTAAACCAGAAATCAGGGTTTTGCCTAGTGAGTCAGGATGGTACATGGTCCTGACAAGGCAATTGTTTAAAGAGGTGGTTATTACGTGTAATGGGTGGTGGCAGTGGTAGCAGCATGTCTATATATTTTTTGTGAGCCAGAACGAACTTTAGTGTCATGCTTCAAGGGTATATGTGAACTAATGGGGGTTTTTTGTTGTTTGGATTAAACAGTTTAGATAGGTGATGCAACCACAATGAATATAGTACAGAAAAAACATTGTGGGAGATTTTTATTGTGTGTTTTTAAACGGACCTTTTCTTACCAATATTTAGCTTTGATGTGCTTAGTTTGATTCTTCTTTTATTCGAAGGTGGCAACTATGGAGGTGGTCCTGGCTATGGTAGCAGAGGAGGCTATGGTGGTGGTGGAGGACCAGGATACGGAAACCCAGGTGGTGGATATGGAGGTGGAGGAGGAGGATATGATGGCTACAACGAAGGAGGAAATTTTGGTGGTGGTAAGATGCCAGCTTTAAATAGACATCTGTTTTTTTTCAGTCACGTCTGAGTTGTACAGTCCCTGAAGTATGATACTGCATAAAATGAGTTGTACAATTAGGTCTTAATGCAGGATGCTGTGTTACATAAGGAAAGTTCTTTTCCCTCTGAATCGGCTTTGATACACTGCATACAACATTGTTTTGCCAGGAACTTATTTTTCAAAAAGCAGCAGCTGTAAATCTGTGTGTGGAGGTAGAGTAGGAGAATTTTTAAACTGACCATTTGAAGTACTTTTTAATTGTTTGCCTGTGTAATGAGCTACTCCAATTGTTTTTATAAAAGCAGCTTTTGTTGCCAACTACACATTCTAATTAGACTAACTGGAAATCACATTATTATAACACTGTTTTACAGCCTTAACTAGTGTAAACCCTAGACAAGTAGATTTAAAATCGAGGTTACTATCTAACCAAAATACATCTAGCTATGTCCTGTTGTATGATCAGTTTAGCCGTGTTCTGAACAATAAGGTTAATTGTTAAATCTGGGGTAACTTCTGTGGAGGCCCTTAATGATAGGGTATCTCTGGTAAGGGTATCTCACAAATACGAAACCAGCTTAAGGTGCGTTACTAGAATTTTTGGAGAAGGAGCAGTAAGAACTTGCCAATGACTAGCGGAATTTTGGGGAGTTAAGCCGCAAAATCTGCTGCATACTTTATTATACCCTCTGATGTGTGTATCCAGCATGTCTGTTACAGTTCTATCATTTTTTGGAGCAAATAGATTGACTGTAGTTTACATTATTGTCATATGTGCAAAGCATTGGGTGGTGGAAGACTGATGGTGACACTCGTGCTTTTCCAAGTTTGGAGGCCTTAAATTTGGCCTGTTGTGTTAACTTCAAAATTGCGTACTCAAATACATAAAGGTTTTCTAAGTCATGTGATGTTTTTCATCTTCAATGAAATACCAGTTTCTAATCTTCAAAATGCTGAGGGTCTTCTGTCATTTGTGCATTGTGGGTAGAGAGGGAGCGTGCAAACTGCTTGCAATTCTATTTTACATTTTTTTAAACAATTACAATTTACATTTACATTGGATGCCTTAATTTGGCAACCTTCAGGTCCTAAGTGTTGAATGAGAATGGCTTTATAAATCTGCATTTGTTTCAGGTAATTATGGTGGAAGTGGAAACTACAATGATTTTGGCAATTACAGTGGACAACAACAATCCAACTATGGTCCCATGAAAGGTGGTGGCAGCTTTGGTGGCAGAAGTTCAGGCAGTCCCTATGGTGGTAAATATGATTTTGTACAGAAGATTGGGGGGGGGTGTAAAATTTCTTGTTATTCGTGTATTTCAATATACACCCCATTTTTTGTAGGTGGTTATGGATCTGGAAGTGGAAGTGGGGGCTATGGTGGTAGAAGATTCTAAAAATGCTACCAGAAAAAGGGTAGGTGTAATTCATATTTATAATGATGATTAATAATGTACAACTGTTCACTGAGAGTAATAATTTTCTTATCCTGTATTCAACAGGCTACAGTTCTTAGCAGGAGAGAGAGCGAGGAGTTGTCAGGAAAGCTGCAGGTTACTTTGAGACAGTCGTCCCAAATGCATTAGAGGAACTGTAAAATCTGCCACAGAAGGAACGATGATCCATAGTCAGAAAAGTTACTGCAGCTTAAACAGGAAACCCTTCTTGTTCAGGACTGTCATAGCCACAGTTTGCAAAAAGTGCAGCTATTGATTAATGCAATGTAGTGTCGATTAGATGTACATTCCTGAGGTCTTTATCTGTTGTAGCTTTGTCTTTCTTTTTTCTTTTTATTTTCCCATTACATCAGGTATATTGCCCTGTAAATTGTGGTAGTGGTACCAGGAATAAACAAATTAAGGAATTTTTAACTTTTCAATATTTGTGTAGTTCAGTTTTTCCACATTTAGTACAGAGAACTCTATAACAGAAATAAAATGTAGTTTAGGGTGTTTCCTTGTTAGTTAATAGAGAGGATTAATGCATTTCTCAATTACTATTTTGTATTAATTTAAAGTTAACAATAGAAACACCTATTGATTTGCAGTCTTAAGGGGTCTAGTCTCAGTGTATATATGTAACTGTCATTGACATGAGTTACATAGGCATACAGAGGGAAAACATCTGTATGTTGCATTATAGTTTGTTTAGATGTATAACTAGGATTGAGTTACTCAAATTAGTGTTTGTGAATTATAGAACTAAGCTTTACCTTAATGAAAATTTCAAATTACTTTTTGGTTTGTGCATATTTTTTTAATTTGTAGTTCTGTATTAGTACTAGCGCTTCAAGAAAATAAGGCATGATAAATATTTTAACAAGACCAACTTTAGACACATTAAAGCTGTCTCCCGTCTCATTTGAGATGTATAAGGGATAACTGCAGTTGCTTAAGTCTTGGGTTGAAGAGAAAAAGAAACTTGCTTTTTACCTTTATATTTATTGTAATTCCCGAGAAGTTAAGGTGGGGGGAATCAAGTGCCTGTTTCCTTGGGATATACAATGATTCTGTTTCAATAAAACTATACTTTGGGGAGGGCGGCTTGGAATTTTCATCCCCTTCCTTTGTCCCCGTTTACCCTCTCCCTCGCACCAGACTGCGCTGTTTTCAATTAAATGAGGCGTCATAGTGAGAGTAATAGGTATGTTCCTCAATAACTTAATGGCTATATACTTTCTTGCATGCACCCTAGGCAATTTTCTGGACACACTCTTCTGACTGGGAGCCAAGGGTAGCACAGGTGTAATCACTGACAGCCCCAGGTAACGCGTTCCCAAAGCCCCTTCACCACGGGCTCGAAGTAGTCTAGTTCTCAAGCTTTTTCCCTTGCGAATGTCTGCGCTCAGCTCAGAGCTCGAAGATAAAAGAAAACACGACCTAGCTGTGGTGTACCCGCTAGGAACACTTCCCACAATGTAGCACGGTACAGTCGTGAGTTCCCACAGGCAGACGGATAGCGTGTTACCACTTGATTTGATGCGCTGGAGTAGCGAATCTTACCAGCACGTGCGGCTAGAAATCGTACTTCATTCTCACTTCTGACCTCCAAATTAAGGCGCTGCAGTCTGTCCTTCTCTCAGCTGATGCGAATTCTCTCTCGACTGTTGCCAGGACAGTGCTTTCTGTCAATTCAGACTCAGAGGAGTAGGGACCCAGTCGATAGAAGAAATACTCAGACACTTGACACTATGGTATTGGAATTACTCACACCTGTTTCACTCCTGGGTCAATGTGCAGTATAAGGTAAATGCCATTCCAGTGTAGGAATGAATCTGCAAAGATGTATGAAATGGCTCGAGGCATAATCAGTCATATTAATAATGAATTATAATTTTAAGAAGTAGCAGAAAAATGAGTGTGTTGTTTGAAAAAAAAATTAAACCATGTTATTTAAACGCTGTTATTGGAGTGTATTTAGACTGCAGTACACTAAAACGAGGAACCGGTGTCAAGATGGTAGCCTCCAAACTGGATTTCAAAGTCTGCTTATTCTTTTCTGTGGAGTTTTGAAATATCTCTAAAGTTTTAAAGCAAGATCGGTGATTTAGTGAACGCTTCTGTTGTTGTACATATTAATTTGGGCTCGGGGTGGCGGGGGGAGGCTGTATTTCAATAAAGGCGTTTTTTAAACAACCCATTTGGAGTTTGACAACCTTGGAAACTAAAGCACATCTCACTAGGGAGTGAGCCACCTAACTACCGACTCGCTTTGTACCTTGCTACGCTTAGAAGATGTGTAGACTTGTACCTGGGGCCTGCATCTGATTGCAGGGACAACTGGAGGATGGGGTCGATGTCCCTTCTGACGATTGATCTGGTGTTTCTAAATTTTTTTAGAATGTATTGACAGTGTTCTTTTTAACAGGGCCTCTTGTAGCTGTACTGTGACAACAATGTTAACTTTGAAAAATAGTGTCGTAATAAACTTTATGAACAAGATCTGTATGCAACCTTTTAAGAGATGGATGTAAGTGACCGCTTTGTAGGTGGGTGGGGTAGCGTAGCTGTTGTTTGTGACGTGGAAAAGTGTAAGGACAGTGATTAACCAGCTTTAAAGAACCTAGGATGTCCTTCTCTGATCCATACTTTGCTAAGGAGACTCATAAGACAGGACTTCAGCAGCCTATTGAGTATGGAGAAGTCAGCATAATTAAAGAATGACAAGGCAGCAGGAGCAACAGCTTCAACTTCCAGAAAAGTGAAGGCATAAGATACTGTGCTGATAGTGAGCAGCTTTCCCAAGGCTAGTTAAATCCGCTTATCACAGCTGAAATATCGAAGAAAGTCTAGCAAGAGTTCTTCACCTTTTGGAACCTCCTTGAGTGATAGCTACTTGAGTTGACTCAAAATCAATAGGTCTAGCGTTTAGACCTGAAAGGAAGGGCAATGAGCATAGGTAAGGTTTGCCTTTAAAATTTTTCATGAATTATAAAAAGAGTAGTGGGAGGTTTTTAAACAAGGTAAGAGTAATTTCTTTGATTTTCAGGTTGAATGAGAAGCTGCTGCTTGACAAAATGGGGAATGTCTTGCACATCCTCTTCAATTGAAGGTTTCTGACTGGGTAAGATCTGTAGCGTATAGTACAACACTTGTTTAACCCTTATTTCCTTCTAGGCTTTCCTCTGCCGGCCGCCTAATGCCGAGGAAAGCCTTAAGCACTAAGGAGCAAGTATTCCAGCACTTGTCATCCAGCCTCTCCTGCTCGGGGCGAGGGCTGCTTGCTGGCATAGTTGCTATTCGAGAGTCTTCTCTTCCTGCCAGGTACAAAATCACTGTGTGTCCGAGATCAACAAGCCGGAAACGAGAAAAATGTTTTGAAAACGTGTACTCTCATTATGGCGGGGGGGCTGCACTCTGTGTGCGCGCGTGTGAGAAATTGTTCGTTACCTTGTCGTAGAAGGAGGAGCCTTACAGGAAGGTGAACCGCTTCAGCGTCTTCATCACACTTCTCAGTAGCGCGTGATTTGCTGCTGCTGCTGCTGCAGAAATGTTCTGCAGAGGCGCTTTGCATTGGGTAGAGCAGCGACTTGCCCTCCTAATAAATGAGTCTTGGCTTTCCCGGCTGGGGGGGGTTATCCGGACAAGTCAAAGAGCTCATTTGTCCACCTGTCAGGAGTTTGGTGTTCCAGGCAGGGCTGGTTTAGCGGGGGCTGGTGCTGTCATGTGGCGCCCAGCTGAAAGCACAGCTGCGTGCATACAGGCGAATGCCAACAAAAGAAGTTTTCACCAAATTTGCTTTTATGCACATTGGTTCTTAACTCTTGGAACACGAATTTCCTTCATCTTCCGATTGTTACAGGTCTGGGATATTTTTAACTCCCTCTGTATAGTAGTCTAGTACCTATTTAAACTTAACGCACACTCAAAAAAGTATTGGTATTTTTGCAAAGTCAGTTTCTATTTTAGTGTTGGTTATGCTTCAGTTACTCCAAAAATAAAGTCAAATGGAATTCCTGCATTTCAGTTTCATTTGGGGCTTAGGCATGTTCACAGACTGATTCAAGTAGTTCAGACTTGTTACCTGCTGTCTGTAAACATCCAGAAAGCAAACTCTTGACACTGTAACATACAAGTAAATTGTTCCCAGGTTTACTTTTAAAATGGTAATGTTGAGATTTTCACAGAAATAATGGAAATCTCACCATGACTGCCATGTATTTTTTATTTTTTTAAAAAAAAACATTGACAAACATTTTTGGTTAGCCAAGCTTGAGCCAAAATTTAAGACTGCTGCAGGAAGGTCACAGCCTCTCCTTAGTGTAGCACGCTCGACTGCTCGGTGCTGCGGTGACAACTTGCTTTCTTACACCCGAGAGGTGGGGAAGGGTTGTGTCTCCTCTGCTGGGCAGAGTGGCTCTTGGGGAGCTGACGCGGGGAGCAGCCGGCGAGGGGGGAAAGCGTTAGTGGGGCTTGTGCTTCCTCCCCTGAGGGCAAGCGCTTCTGTACTTGGCGGGAGGGGGAACGTTACAAACTTTTTAACGGTAAAATCTTGAAAATGTCTTAACAAAAGGAAATTTTAACAAAAAACTCTTTCTAGTTTGCATGGCTGCGTAGAACCTTGCTCTGCCGTAACGTGAGAGGGTTCTACATTGCTGCAGACTTGTTCTGTGCTCGGCAGGGGGCTTTTTGCACCTCGTGTAGAACTACATATTCACTGTTGGAATTATTTTCACGCTTGGTTTTACACCACTCTTGCCAGACTAGTTTGCTTAAGTTCAATTATTCGTACCCCAGTTTGTTCAGAAATAAACCTTGTCACAGATGAACACATCTTTAAGGAGTTACTTGGTCAGGTGTGTCTTTGTCCAAGAAGCCCTTCCAAGAGTTAAGACTGTTGTTTCAGGGATAGGTTTTTCTATAGTGGCTGCTGTTGAAAATAGCAGCTGTAAACATACGTGGAGATGCGAAAATGTAAAGTTAACCAAGTTAACTGCTCCCTAAGCTGCAGTTCTACAGAAGGTTGTTTGATACCTAAACCCGTGTGTTGACCTAAAAGCAAATGGTACATCCAGGTAGGAAAAAGGTATTTCCCCAAAAGGGGCCCAGGTTGATGCAGGTGTGGTAAGTGTTTTCTTCACAGAACACTGAAATTCAACACAGCGTCTTTGATATCCTTTAAATATTTAAGGCGGGAAGGGGAATGCTCGTAGTCTTTCCAGCATTGACTGTGTGATGTACTGACTTGCTGTCTTTGGTTCCTGTGTTTAAGACATTAACGTGTTTTCATATACTGTCTACGCTGCGGTGGAATATTCACGTCCATATCAGTCTGTGGTCTCTGACAAGTGTTTGTATCTTAAATTGTGTGGAGCATGAAAGATCTTGAGTACCACTAAAATTCAGATATCTGATGGATGGTTCTTTTTCTGCTGTGGGTGCTACAGGTTGACATCTCTGTCTAAGATTAGCTTTTTCCTGAACTAAAGTAATCCAAGTATCTCCGTAGAAGAAAAATGGCCTTCATGTAGAAGATAATATCGCAAGATTGGAAACAGAATAATATGTTAAAATAACTGGCAAAGACTTCAAGAGCAATGGTGCTAGTGTGCTGCAATCTTAGAACTTGTGGTTAAACAAGTTTAAAAAATAGCATGGAAATGAAAAATTTCAGTATAGTCCATAATGGATTGAAATTTGTTACAATATTTCAATTTTGTATCAGAATAAAGTGTATATTGTCAAATGACTTACAATCTAAAATGCGTTGCCATCACCTTTTTTTTTTGGTGCTGGGAGGAACACAAAGCGGTCTTCAATTATTGCACCACATTATGAGTTACAGGATCATCTTTGCAACTCGGGACGGCGAGTCAGAGAACCTTGGTTCAGCCCAGCTCC